TAGGATGAGAAATCCATTTTGACCAGCTATAGTCTACTATGGCAGTTAAGAGTAGAAAATACAGGGGCTGGGGATTTAGCTCAGCGGCATAAGCACCTGCCTTTCAAGCAGGCAGTGGTGAGTTTGATCCCCGGTACCAATAAAAAGGAAAAAGACCAAAAAAAAAAAAAAAAAAAAAAAAAAAAAGAGTAGAAAATACAGTTTAAATGTAGCAATTGGGGAAAATACAAAATTAATAATTAAGGGTTTGGCATCATCTTTATCTTTTCAAAATTAAAATCATATAGATTTTTCAAATTCAGATTCTGCAACGAATTGTTGTTAACATTCCCTGTTCGTTCAAATTTGAATAACTGTATCTTTATTTTTAATGTTCAGAAACGAACTCTTTTTAGAGTCAGCAGCTTATTCATGGATCCTCAGTGTAGCTGGTTGTGAGAAAGATTGGATCAAGTTTAATGCCTTGTGCTCTGAGAAAAGAATGTTAATCTTGTTGAATTAAAAATCATCAGGGAGACCAGTAGAGAAAATGTGAATGGATCCGTGAAAACCCATCACTGCGCTGAGAAACCACAGAGTATTATTTATGGATGTTGTGTCAGTATTATCATTTTGTTTACAAAGAACAGAATTATAATTAGAGTCAAATAAAACAGTTTTGGCTAATTTCCTGAACAATTCTACAAATCTGTTACTAGTTTGCAGCTTAATGACTAATCTAGAAGTGCCACTTTGCTGTGTTTTTTTATCATGCTCTACATGAGAATTATATATTTAAAATGAACACTTGGCCTGTTATAAAATTAGTGAGCATAAAATGTATCATTTTGACAATATTCAAGTAGAAGAACAGTTATTAAAAGATACAAGGTTATATAGAACAAACGCAGAACTATGGTGCATGAAATTAAAGCACGTGAAATAATATTTTGAAATTGGGACCATTTTATGCTTTTCAGAATTATTGCACATAAATGCATGTCTTATCATTTATAACATATTGATCTTTATAATTATCAATGCAACATTAAGGTCAAGTGTGAAGTGATACTGAAGGAGAAGGAGGTGATTGGTATAACTAAAAAATATAGATTTGTTTATTTTGTGTTTTATTAAATGAAGTTAAAAAATTATAATTCACATGCTAAAAGTCTATTATGAGAAAAGATAAAAATTCTTTTATGAAATAGCATGATATGATTAGGTACAGTATCATAAAGCAGGATTAAACTGGCATTTTTCTGAGTGAGGAATTTAAATTGTATCAAATGGCATGAGGACAACTAACTAATCATTTAGAAAATAAGAAAATTAAACCTAAATCTCACTATATAAAATAGGATGCCTTCAAATGTATTTTTTAAAAAGCCAACAAGCAAAGGGGAATTCAACAGGTTTCACAGAGGAGTCATGTGAGAGTTAATCAGAAAAAATCACCTAAAAACACAGGTAATTGGAACAAAGGGAGGAACTTACATCCTGATGCCAAAATCAGTCTGAAGTAAGAGATCTGTACATCAAACAGAAGAGAGGCAGGATCCTATGATGTGGTGAAGCAGCCCACAGGGCTGCCTGTGGGAGCTCTGCCTGAGGACTGAGTAAGAGCTGCTATTCTGGGAGGTTCCTCCCCCCACCCCCAAAGCCTGATGGGCTGCAATAGCCTGGCAGGCTCAAGCCTCCTAGGACAGATTTGGGATACAAGACCCCTGGCCTCTTTTGACTTCCTCAAAGGAGAAGATGCTGCGGTTTGGCAGCAAATTTCACACAGGAGCAAGTGCCCAGGAAGCTGCTCCAGCCCCAAGGGCCAAGGGTTTTGTTTTCCTTGCTTGTTCCCTGTGCCATGGCAGCTAATTCAAACTTCTAGCGACAAGGTTAGGGACTGCAGCAGTGGGGGTGATGGCAGTGAGTGGAACAGCGCCACTCCCTCTGCCCTGTCCCCAACAGCAAGAGAGAGGGACCTGAGACTTAAGCAGCCGAGGAGGAGCAGTGAGTGGGAAGTTGGCACACGCACACACACACACACACACACACACACACACACACACACCCTGCTCTCAGTAACAGGAGAAGGGAGAGAACAGAGGCACTGAACTGGCTGACAGCACTCCCTGCCCTGCTCCCAGTGTTCAAGGAGATGGAGAGAGACTTCCCAGCAGACAGCAGGCAGGCACTGAAAGGCCAGGAGTGGCCCAGTGTACCTGAACTGAGAGGAGCCTCAGGCTATCTCTGTCTGAGGGCACTAAGATGCTGGGCAGTATCATAGAGGCGCGCAGCTCAGGAGACATGAGCAGGCCACCAAGGGACAGGGACATACAGATAGTTGCTGGCTGAAAACTCTGACCCCAGCCCCACATCTGGAGACCAAAATCAAACTCACGTCCAGCACTACCACCGCTGATGTAACGGAGTTACAGAGCACAGCTTTGAGCTCTGACTTGGACACTACCACAGAACTGAAGAATTATATTAGTTGTCTAAATACTAATTAAGCCATCTTTACATGAGTCATTTTGTTAGACTGTAAAAGAATAGGGAACTATAGTTTTATAAACACAGGACATTGATTATGCATATTTTAAGTGAAAATAGATTTTTTTCCTCATATTTTCACTGGATTCAGCTACATTTAAAGTTTTAAAAGTTAAAGCTACAAATATTCTTGATAATATGCCCAAATGGCAAAATAAAGACTTAATTTATTTTTTTTTCATTTTTGGAGTACTATGAATTGAAGCCAAGGTCTTCACAATGAGTTCTATCCCCAACTGTTTTTTTTTTTTTTTTTTTTTTTTTTTTTTTTTTTTTTTTTTTGAGATAAGACTTCTAAGTGGTTTACATTTACCTTAGATTAGTAATTTTCCTGCCTCAGCCTTTCAGACTCCCGAGACTGGGGTTATAGGCATACACCATCAAGTCTGCCTATCACTGTGCATTTCAAAACTCCTAACTAATTTAAATGAGGATGTCTCACATATGGTTACTGTTACTCATGTGTTTGACAATTTGAAATGTAATTTTTACAAGTGATATTGCTCAGCATGCCCACATACCAATTTTAATGAGTGAACAAACATCTTATTTTTCTATTTATCTATCTATCCTTCTATCCACCTATCCATCTATCTATTTTTCAATCTATTTATGTATTTTTATTTTTAGAATTACTTCTCCAGGAATCCTCACTATTTTAAAGGGGCTGTGAGCATGGTCTGTGTGCAGGTGTGGATGAGAAAAGTATCTCTTCACTTCTCTCATCTCCCGCATATAGATTTGGATTCATAATTTTGAGTTCTAAAAGCGATAACTGCATAATTTGATGACTTTGCAACTGGTCACAGATCCGCCAGGTTTCTGGGGATAAACAATGATGAAAGCAAAATATGCTTTCCATCTTTATTGTTAACTTTCGTCTAGTTATGAAAATTTGAGCTCAAATGTCACCCATAGCTAATTTATTTCTGGTTACTTTTCTATGTATAGTTACACAAATGTCAATTTTATTTTCAAGTTGTTTCAGTATACTCTACCTCAAAGGTAAATAGCAACATAAAATTTTATATAAAATGTGTCATTAATTTCTTTTCTAAATTTTTAAAATTGTAATTGACAGTCATTGATGATATTTGTCGTATAGTATTTCAATACATGTACAGACAGAAAAATAGAACTTTTTATATGATTATCAAAACCGTGTTTAGATTTGTAGCTTTCTTTCCTTATTAGTTTTTCTGCTTCTAAATGTAATACTTTCTCAGCAGAAAACTAACCAATCTTCCCTTGAAACAGTTTCTGTCCTCCGTTTGTTTTCTTCATGCTCACGTGTAAATTTCCGATCTGCATCACATCTCTGACATCAGCCTAGTCAATTCATTAAAGCAGGTCTGACAAAGCCTGAGGCTGCCTGATTGCCAGTCCCTCCCTGGCTTTGTGCCCTTACATTTCATCTTTTCTCACCTTCTTTCCTCTTCTGCAGAGCCTGTTTTGGCTCATACATTGTGTCAGTTTGAGAAGTCTGGAAGCCTAGCTAAGTAACTCAGCAGTCCTACATCCTGGAGTACAGAGGACATGCCCTTGTGGCTCTAGGATATTGTTTGTTGTGTCAACTTGATAAGTTTAGAGGTATACCTAAGTGACTCAGCGGGGGCCAGGGCCCCCCTTTGTAAGCATCCTCATCCTGCAGGAGAGGAAGGCATGGAGATGGTGTGAGTGTTACACGCACCCTGGGGGGGAATAGCTTGCTTACTGTATAGGGAAGGAAAAGTTTTGTTCCCCCTTTTTGATTTTGTTGCTTTTGCTGTATTCTGCCTCTTTGAAGCATTGCCCCTGTGCCATGCCACTCTGCTTTGGAGCCATCTGGTTATAGATAGAAACACCTACAAACCGTGAACTAAATAAACCTTGCCTTCCTTAATTTAAGAGTTGGGTATTTTGTCTCAGCAATGAGAAAAAGTAACTAAGACAGAATGCTTGTCCCCTGGGTACTTCGTCCATGCTTCTGTCTTCTTTGAAAACCCTCTAGGTCAAAGCTCATCCACTCCTGGGAGATTCTCAACTACTTTCACTTCTATCAACCTCTTTCATAATACTATTTACCCCAGACAATCCCAAATGTCTTTGTCCATTCCAAAATTTTGCCATTCTCAATTCATCATCTACCAGGCACTGGGCCAAAAAAGAAAAGTTACAGGTCATCCTAATCATTTTTTTTTTCCTTCCTTGATTGTACAAGACACATTTCCATTTTGTTCCTATTTCCATGTAGCAACTGACTCTCAGTATTTTGTTCTATCCTGTGGGATCCTGACGTGTTTGTCACTATTACTTTTTTCTAGCTGTAGTCACCCTAGTTTTCCATGTAGATTTCATGTTGACTGTCCTACTGATATTAATCCCTTGGGAATCTGTCTCATAAGACATCTGCCTTATAGTTCCTCACAGTTCTTGTCAAATCTAGGCACAATGAAACAGCAGAAAACTTTTAGGAAATTTTGACATTTTACTAGAGATAGAGAGTATGCATTGACAGAAACAGCACGGGTATGCTAGTGGACATTTTTCAGTCCTAGAGGCTTAAGAATGTAGCACTAGTGAGAACAGCAGGAGAACAATATCAAATTTTCCTTTGTAGTGATGTGCCGCTCATCAGATTCACTTATGACTGCTGTGAAAGTGCAGCTTCCCTGGATGCAACTGTCTTTTCTTTGTTCCAAAGAAACCTGGGAAACCTATTAAAGAGCCATTTGGATTCTTCATGAAGCTGTAATATTCTTGTAGTCCAAGATGCGTTCTAAAGATGGAATCACAAAGGTTGCATGTCTTGTGTTCTGGTGGCTGGAGAGGAGAGGAACGCACATCATCTAGTGTTTCAGTAATGATTACAGATGTTTTTCAATTTCTTTTTACAATCAAGTTGCAGAATGCTACTTATAATGATTCAGAAAATTTACAATGTATTTTCTTCCCTAAAAGAAATACACAGTTGATATGCAAAAACACCCACATTTTTTTTCAGAATGATGCAGAATCAGAAGATGATTCCAAAAAAATAAATCTACAAATAGGTATTATATAATGAGTCAAATCATGTTCCAGTATGTAGGTTGGTCAAGACACCTTTTAAAATATTTACACAGAGATACAGATTAGAATTTATTTGACACCTTATTGATTACTATCTCATGCACTACATCAGTAACTTGGTGGTGAACAATTAAAATTTAAAGGGGTAATAAATTTTGCTTGTCATGAAACCATTATGACTGTTTTGGAATTAAGTTTTTTATGGCATGTTATAGTTTATGTCTAGATGTACTCCAAAGCTTCATGCATTCCAAAGGTTGAGCTTTTCAATGGTAGGTGAATTTAGATGATGTGATATTGAGACTGAATCATGGAGCAGTTGCTAGGATTAAGGTCACTGGGATTAAGGGTGTGCGATTACTGAACTAGTTCCCTGATCGGTTTGGTTCCTGCCCAAAGATGGGTACCCTAGATAGAATATAAAAGAGGCAGAAAGAAGCTACTACTGTAGTGTGTGGTTTTCTACCTCCTACCTTCTCCTTGCCATGATCTGTTACTCATGTGAGATGTACCTCTGCCATGCCATCCTGCCTTTGAACAAGCCAGCTGTGGATTTACACCTCTACAAACGGTGAATCAAAATAGACTTGTCCTCCTTTAACTTAAAGTGTTGAGTTTTTTTGCAACAATTAAATTAACTAAAAAATGGCATAAAGACTGATATTAAAGTGGGACTTCTCTAGGCCTTAAACAGGAGGAACGTATAAACCATAATGAAAATGAATTCTCAAGAGAAATGAGGAATCTTGCTGCTAGTTCAGCTAGATAAAGATGGGACTCATTACCAGTTTTCCAAATCATGAGTCCTGGAGACTAGACAGGATACTTTCCATACAAAAGGAATTTTAAATTCAGTTCAGGCTAACACCCCTCTGGTCACTAGATCATTTGCTACACCAATCCCTAGGTTCTGAAAAGAAAATGGTGGAACACAGGTATCCCTTTCTCTGGCATGCTCAGAACAATCAAAGTGGTGGGACTGACCCAGAAGACTGGCTTCTTGGTAATTTGCAATAGAATAATTCCACATGTTAGAGTCTTCTCTGTCTAATAAAGAAATTCGAATAATTTTTTTATTGTCAAATGGCTAATGATGACTTAACTCTTTGTATTATGGTATATTATTCAATGGGTGAAATGTGCAACTTTCCACAAATTCACAGTCCAATTATCATGTATCAATCCTTCTCTATAGTCACGCCTCTAAACTCACATGCATCTGCTCAAATCTTCAAAGTATAATCCAGCAGTACTACAGAATATGAGAACATGGACATGTGTACATTTGGTTATGGAAAGATATTAATGAATGCTTAAACAAGGTAACATCTTGTACTGTGTAGTAATATTTTAATGTCATAGACAGCACAATTCAAATGATGACAACCACAGTAATTTATCCTATGGATTATTTCATTCTTCTCCCAAGTTCATCTGTAGAAACCATAACCTGCAATGTAGTAATATTTAGAATAGGACCTTCAAGAGATAATTATTTCATGAAAGTGAGTCTCTTATGAATGATTTTATTGCCCTTATAAGAACAGTCAAGAGATAATTTACATCATTCTTGTTCTACTTCATGGGAAGCCACAATGATATTTTTTTTTCTTGCACTAGACTTTCTTCTTAAGGTTACATATCAGTTACATATATCTCCATAAAATGATTATGAAATCTTCATTTGAATCTATGTATACTGTCATTATTTACTTTAAATCCACATTGAATGCTTTTGCCCATTTCTCAAAAATCAGCTGCATAATTTTAAAAATTTTCATTAAAATTATAGAGAACTGCTATTTTCCTAACAACATCAGTAGCATTGTACAACACATGTTATTTATCCTTAAAAATCATAGTGGCTTTAAAATTTTAAAGTTCTCCCAGTACAGAGACTTACGAAACAAGCATGGTGAAGCAATTAACATTGCTACCAAAATAAACATTTAGGATATATGACATCACAGGGTATATTTCTATTTTATAAAATATATCTCCTACATTGCATATACTTACGTATGTGCTGGGTTACACTTCAGAATATATTAGGTATTCTTGATACATTGAAGTTTTTAAAAATCTACTAACTAATGTTTTAAAGTGAGATAATCCATAAATCCTTCCCACAGTTGTGGTACCATAAGAAAATGATTGGCACTGAGGCTTTTTGTAGGTGACCAGTTGCTTAAGGTTTTTCTATTTAAAGATTCATCAAGGCAAACATCTATGATAGCGCAAACCTGCTAACTCCTTGCAAGCACATCTGATGCCCATAATCCTGAGCGTAAACACCTTAGAAGGTGCCTTGGCCAAGTCCAAGAAATTCTTGCCCTTCACTTAATCTCCAAGATGCAAAGATGCCAGAAAGTCTATGTAAATAAGAATGCATTTCAAGTTCTTTTTAATATTATTTTAAAATATTTTCACTTTTCAAAACAAATATATTCTCCTCATTACATTATGAATTGTGAAGTTAGTCAGGCAACGTGTAAAACCAGTCTTTCTAGTCTTTGTCAAATTACACATTTATGTACTCTCTTCCTTCTCTGTAGAATGGGAATGACCATCACACTTGATTCCTAGGGCTGCTGTGATCATTAAATGGTGTGACCAATTTTAAGTGTTTTAAAAGTACCAATTGTGCTTTTTAAAGCTTGAATAATTAATTGTTTGTTTGATATTTCTACTAAATCACTCTACATTGATTATTTATTATGTGGAGTATATTAAACTAAGTCTTGTTAGGAGTTACCCATGCTATCACCATAAATTTAGCTATGAAGATAAAGAGGAATGTACTGAGACTCTAAATATTAAATTACATTCAATATCCTAATCAATATTTTTCTTAGAACTATATCAAAAAAGAAGAGTTATTTCTATAAATGAAATTAATATCTGATGGTTTGGTTCCACTAATAATTTTAGTAAAAGAAAAAAATTAAGATAAAAGTACTTTGAAATTTTATAAAGCTTTCATGTAAGTTATGCAAGTTGCTATTTTACATTTTGAAACATGGCCCTCTTTCATTATAATATATCATGTTAAAATTCCTACTCTGACTAAACATAGGCAGATGTTGCAACGGGCAATTATGCAATACTCTAAAAAGGCTCCTAATGTTCTAGAGAAGAAATGAGTTACAAATGTTATAAGTGACTCAAGATTCTTTTTTTTTTTTTTTTTTTCACTTAATTAACTGAATATGGGAACTGGTCAGTGGTTAGATTTGCTCCACAGCACCTAACCCCTGGAAATAGCCTGAGGCAGGCATAAATCCTATATTTTTAATGACATTAGAGGAAGATTAAGTATATGTGAATAGATATCTCACAGCTGCATACTTAAAACATTTTTTAAAAATGAACAAAATATTCTTTAATTTAAGCTCTTTTAGCAACAGTTTTCTAGTAGGATAATTGTCAATCCTAGGATATATGGATGATATAGAAAACATTCATTTTCAAGATAAATCCAACATAGACACTGATGATTGAAAGTATTGTCATGTTTGGCTTGGCATTTACTACCTATAAAGGGAAAAGCAATCCTTGTAACATGATTATTCCTGCAGTTGGTTTATAACAATAGAGATGTTACATGGCTTGTAAATTTTAAAATATGATTCTCTTATTTCCAGTACTGGCTCATATTATTTGAATTCCCTTTCACAATTTCTTCTTTTGATGAAAATTTTATTTACCTTTAGTCATATACTGTATATTCTTTAAAAAATTGTTCTTCATTTTAGAACAAATCACAACAACTTTATTCATACAAGGAAACATTTTAAACTACTTGTTTTATGGTCATGAGAAAGGAAAGAACTGCTAAGTACAAATTATATTGTGAAAGAATAAATCTTGTGTACCTTTTGTCTGCTAGTATTTATGTTTGACTGGTGTACTGTGCCCATAATGTGTTTTATAATTTCTTCAAGATTTTCAACAGTATACTGACTCATGCAAAAAATTGGCTGTTGGAGCTAACTTTCAAGGAGCAATGTATGGTAAATCAAAGAAAAAAGAAAATCGTTTTGATTTGCAAATGTCTCAGAAAGCTTTAACATGCACATATTTCCATACTCTGCCCCTTGCTGGACTTTTGATGAGTATATGTTTTCTCAACAAGCAAATTTGAAATTGTTTCACTTAGAAATTGCAATTTGGATGTCTACTGTAGTTCTGTGACAGTCACATTGGGAGCTGCATATGTGTCCCCTCCAAACAGCTGTTAAAATCCTAACACACTCAGAGAGACAGACAGCATCTCCTAAAGAAGAATAAACTAAGGTCCTCAGAGTGGGCCCTAATCCTATGAACTTGACAGTTTTCTTTTTAAAATCAGGAAGTTGAATGGACACACCCACAAAAAAGACACCATGTGAATGTGAGAAGGGAGATGAGGGTGATTTATCTAAGCATCTGCCCAAGAACTGTGAAGATCACCAGCAAATCTACAGTATTCTTTACCCTACTCTTCAGAAGGCACCCAACTTGTCCACACTTTTAGTTCAGAGTTTCTAGCCACGGCACCTGAGGGACAATAACATTTTTTGTCTCTGAAGTCTCTCTGTGACACTGTATTTTGTTAAGGCAGCTCCAACAAACATACAAATTAGATGCAGTATGGGGAAGGGAAAGGCAAAGTAGAGATGGACTAATTTTCTTGTTGATTTTCTTTTAGCATAAGCACTTGGTTCCCACTGTGAATTTTGTTTCTTCTAAGTGATTCAAGTCAAAAATTAATCAATGATTTGGGTCACTTAAGCTGTTACTTAAAATTATCCTGTGCACTCGCTTGCAAGGCGGGGGCCAGGGGCAACCCCTTTTGGCCCCTTGTTGGCGTGCACTAACCAGAGCTTTTGATGATTAATGCTCCTCATCAGGTCGGCTTCCTGTTCATGTATCTTAAAGGTCTCCTGCAGCTCCCAGCAGTGTCATCCTAATTCAGTACCCTAGCAAAATTAACAGTGGGAAGCAAACTTGGTAATTTTCTTCTTTTATAAATAGCATTGTTCATTCAGTAAAGGATAGCAGTTCCTGCGGTAATTGTTTCTGTACTGAAAAGTTACCTTCTTTCCATCAGTGTTAAAAATCAGCCAGAATGAACCCAATGCACATGCAATTAGCCAGCCTACTGAGAAAGAGAACAATCTTTTTATTTTTGAACTCTTCTGATTTCATATCTTAGATTGGGACTTATTGTCCTGCCAGCATTTAGGAAGCATTCAATACCATTGGACACCATGAGACTGCCACTGGAGAGGAGCACAAAAGGCACAGATAGTGAGCCAATGCCACTGATAAAAAATTTTTTAAAAAAGAAAGAAAAACAACCTTAACAGCATTTTATTCTGTTCAGAATAAGAGGTTAATATTTAATGCATTTAACTGTGAGATTTTGTATTTTTCAAAGGTGAATACAAAACTGCAAACCTACACAAATTATACACAAACTAATTTCTCAGTGTGGGAAGAACTTCATCTCAAGTCCCCTGTGAAATAGCATAATTCATCTTCTGTAAAATTAAGCATACATTTAGGGACATAGACCATAGTAATTTAAAAGCTTCACAATTTTTATGATGGAAAAAAATTGAATGAGTTGACCTTGCTTCCTAATCTTAATTTCAAGTAAAATTAAAATTGAAAAACAAAATCCCTTTAAATAGACAATAAAGTGATCAAAAAAGTAGTTAGCACAAAGAACAATAACAAGGAAAACGTTAAGCACAATGAAACAAACAAACAAAAAAAAAAACACTTTAGAGATAAGAGAAAATAAAAGAGTAAGCAGTTAGCAGCATATTTAAGAATTTACGCAGATTCGAAAACGTTATGTACTCTTTCTCCTGTATAATTTTAAGTCCGTGGTAAGCTTGACTTAAACTCTTCACTGGGTTGCAAACCTGTCTGCACTCCAGAGTGTGAACTGAGCAGGTGGGAAGAGCTGCAGGAGAATGAGTTCTGAAAGTGTCCTGAGAAAGTGTCAAACCTGGGGGGAAATCTGCAAGGCGGGGTCTTGCACACCTGTCTAAAATTAGAGGACTTTAATTTTTTAAAGTTCTCTTGGTTTTCTGTCACCTGTTGTTTATAATTCATACTTTTTCCCCATCTTGAATAGATCATGCATACTTACTGTCCTACTTACTTTTCTTGTTGCTAAGATAAAATACCGGACATCCAAAATTAAAGGAGAAAGAGTTTCTTAAGCTCACAGTTTGTGGAGGTTTCAGTCTTTAATTGGCTGGATCCAAGGCAGGGCGGCACATGGCAGATGGGCAACATTTCCTGGTGGTAGAAGACAGAAAAACAAGGGAGAGGAGATACAAGCCTCTTTCTGTCCCTTATATTGTATCCAGTCTACTGGGACATGCCACTCCAATTAGCGAATTGATCCAGCAATCACTGATCCTTAATTCTACCACACTTAATCCCAATATTGAACCAGGAACCAATCACAAACTCTAGATTCAGCTATCTTGGAAAAAATCCTGTATAAAAATGCAAGATTTGGAGGGGCGCATCTAGACACAAACCATAACATTTCTTCAAGGCTTATGACTGACATACACTGAGTAGTTTATAAATTGAAACTGAAAAGTGTTTTTGTTAAACCTCCATGATATGCCTACAGAAAAATTAGCATTGCTTTGAAAGTCATTCATGGTAACTGCAAAATATGAGAGGAGTATCACCTGTATTAGCGTGGGGCACAGCACGGGGTCCAGGGCATCCCTGAGTCCATCCTGAAGATATAGGGTCCTCCCTGGAGTCCTATGTGTCAGCTCAGCACGGCTCATAATAATGACATTGCATTTATGGTACTAGAAGCAGACCCAGGAAGCAGATGTCACCAAATAGCAGAGCTTTTTGGTTGAAAGCAGTTCAGGGACAAATACCACTGATGGTCTTTAGGTACCTTCAGTAAGTAGGGTTAATAAATAGATGGGACCAAGAAAAATGATTTGCCTTATGAAAAAAGTAGTTTTCCTGTATAAATCTAACTTTAAATTTCTTAATTCGATGTCATAATCTTCTACTGTAGGGCAAATTACTTTTGGATTGTAACATGAGCTAATAAGGACAATGTAAGAACAGCAAAACTTTAGATGAAAAAACTGCCATGTATGAAAATAGGGCTATCAGCAACCACTGTTTGTTACAGTAAATCAAAACCTGTGTCTAATACAAACTATTCTGCATGAACATGATGTCATCTAATATACTCACTTTCCTCGTACTTTTTAATGTTACCCAAAAAGGTGATTTATCTAAACTTCCCTGTTATTTTGCTTTCATGAAAACAGCTTCTAAATTCACTGTATATTTTTTCATGATAAGGTGTGACTATTGATATATCTCTAACTAGAAACATATTAAATTGTAAAAACAAATTTCCCTACCAAATAAAATGATGAGTCATAAATTTAAAAAGAAAAATAGACAAATAACTTTTTGTTCAATCTTGACATCTATATTTCTACATTAACACCTTGCTCTTATAGTAGTACTTTCTAAAAGAGGCAATTATCTTCACCAGAGTGATAATTTAACTTCCAATGTGTTTAACCTTGAATGAATAAATATGCTATCAAAAAAAATCAACAAAGTTTGCAAACAACTAATTTTAGATTGAGCAAAAGTGATGCATTCAATATTATTCTTCTATTGTGTTGGCACTGTTGGGTTGAGCAAAATGACATGAATGAGATTCTAGCTGAGATTACTTATTCAAGTGAAAACAGAATTAGAGAGGGCGGTGACACATACATCATTGCCACCATAAGAAACAGCCTCGAAAATGCAGTCTCAGTTGAGTGTATTAAACTCTCTAAATGGCTGGGCAGGCAAAATTATAGTCCACTAGGATAATTATAGTGCACAGTCATATCTAATGGGATCTGCATAAATCAGAGTATTGTTTGCCACAAAGTGTATTTATACTTGTCAAATGATTGTAATTGGTCATTTACAAAGGATCATTTCAATTTATAAACATGACTTTTTAAATGAATATTTATAAAGCACTTGTTAAAGAAAATAAGTTTACTCAGGTAATTTTGAATTCTGATTTTACAGCATGTAATATAAAAGCATGTCTGACTAAGAAAATATCTCGTAAATGTCTGTTGATGATAAAGCTCAAAATTAGATAGAAACAGAATCTTTTCGGCAGTTCATAGGGCAAAACTATTTCACCGTATCTATGTGTTCTCTGTTAGTAATGGCATGACTTTAAATACGAGTCAATGAGAATTTCTTTGGAATAAAGTCTGGTACCACAACCGTGCATATTAGCACACAGACACATACCCCATAACTACAACTTGTAGATGCAGATTCTCAGATCATTCCACCTACACTGTGCAATCTGCCATAGAAGCAAGAAATAATTTATTATAAAAATCACTGAGAAATATGAGGTGGAACAGGATTCTTAGACATCTTACACCTTGACTAGCTGCATTTTTTTCTATTTGACTTGTTTTATATCACAATCTGTATTACTTCACTGGTTAATAAATTAACACCACAAAATTTTAGAGAGTCTTCTCATAGAGCCTTTGATAGTGATGAAGTTTCTGTTTACATGTGAAGACGCATTAGAAGACCAAATTGCTTCACATAGCTGGCCAGTCTTCTAGTCTGAGGCTGCCTTGCTTAGTCTGATAGCTACACTCTTAATTAGAACATCATACTTATTGTGAGGAGATAGCCCACGAAACTCTTTCTAACTGTATTTTCCTATTCAGTTGTGCTGAGTTGGAGCAGCAGAAGCTAAGGCTCTCATAAAATCAAAACAGTCATGTCAGGTAAGCTTTGTGGCTTGTTCTGCCTACATGCAACATGAAATAAGCTTTTTCTCTTGATTACACAAGATTCAGTAACTTCTCTCAATCACTCAGGATGATGTTAACATAGCAACTGCTCGCAGTGGAACAATTTAAGGGCAAAGGATGAGAACTGAAAGAACGTATGCCCTTTTTGTTCTGTGAATGACTGCTTTTATTATTACTGGAAAATTTTCCCTTTCTATTCCATTCTCACTTTTTGTAGTAGTCTAGTTGGGTTGGTGAAAAATTCATTTTACCCTACATGTACAGCACAAATTAACCTTTCTCGGAGAAAAGATGATTTCAAATTTCCTCTAGAGATTGAACAAACACCCTTATACCCTCCATACAGAGTTATTTGATTCCTGATATGAGCATGCATTCCCAGTTGCAATTAGCATCTCCTCTATCTTCGTCTTAAATAAATTTCCCATTTGTTTTTGATGATCTAATTTAGTCACTTAATTCGATACTCACTTAAACCAACATATCATCCTTAAATCTTTCTCTCTCATAGTTTGCATCAGATGTGTGTGTCTGTTATACAGTTGATCATCCTTTTCAATATATTATAAAAATATATATATATATTCTTAACCATGGAATTTTCATATACAGAACAAACCTGGCTCACTACAGTTGACATTCTTCAGTGCCCCTATCTAATCAACTGATTTTCAGTATAAGTAAGGATTATAATAATTTTTGGAGGGTACAATGAATAAAGTGTATTCCATCTGTTTTAAAATTTGAATACAATTCCAATGCTGTAGTAAACAATTAAAAAGTGATCTGAATTTAAAATGATGAAAAATAATCACAGAAGAGAGGTAACAGATGTAAAGCAAAGCAAAATAAGGGGTTAGATAAGACCTCTCTCTCCAGGACCCTGAATTACTTTCAGATCCCAGTCGGTAGTCACTTACATACTTGCTTATATTTTCTTCTGTATTGCAGGGCAGAAAATCTTGGTCTTATATATTTATGTATATGCATCACACTTACTAGTTTTAAGGCATTCTCCTTCCACTACCAAATATATGACACTTTAAGACAGAAAACAGGAAAAAAAAAGAATGGTGCTTCTTTTAACACTGGCAGCATACACAAAATGGGCTTTGCAGACATTTTATAGAAACTTCTAGATCTTCTCCCTGCTCTGCCATGCATATAATTACAATAAATAAAATATCCAGATTTCAAAGGTTGCTGGTTGTTATAGAGGCCTTGCAAGCTTTGAGGAGAAAAATAATCCATATACAGAAGGTTTATTCTTAGGTGGACAAATCTCTAATGTCTCCATACTGCAAAGCATCTCCTAGCATTATCCTCTCATCACTTGATTTCATGGGCCCCATGAGTGCCAAACCCTGCTCCTGACTTGATTCTGACCTTGCTGTTGATGGTTAGTCTCAGCAGTGGCAGTGGTAAGCAACTCAGCTATGGTGAGGGAAAGTTCATATTTTATAGCATTTCTACAGATTCTAGATGCTCCATCCTTGGCTTTCCTGACTGTGGCCAACTGGGGCCATAACAAATCTGGCAAAGACGTTACCAATAAAGTCAAGCCCAGCAAATTCAGACAACTCACCTCAGATTTCCAGTGCAGGTCTATTTTCTTGTGCTACTGTAGTCACACTTTATTATTTAGTCACCTAGCGTATGTCCCACAAAACAGTGCCTAACAATAGAGAAAGGAGGCACAGGTCTGAATTTCAGATTTCTCATGGGAGAAATGCACCTCTTAAAATTACCTGGAAGACAGCAATGTGTCAGGACATGATCTCCCCCTCTTCTTACAGGCAGCTGAGTTAGTTAGAAATATAATAGGCAGTGAGACAGGGCTAGGTCCTCCAAGGAGCCAGTGCTGAAGCCCAGATACCAGTAACTGTGGGGGAGACCCACATCTCTCACTGTGGGCCAGGCCTCAAGACAAAAGAATAAACAATTGCGCCCATATCCTAAGGATTGGTATTCTAAATAGGTCTCTATGGCCCTGAGGAATCAGGAGTCACCATCCCAACCCCCTACAGGAAGAGTCCCTGCTGTTAAGCATGCCCCACTCACTTCCCCATTTGTTCCTGATTTAATCAATTTTACCTTAGCAATTAATCTTATTGGTTAGCCATAGTTCTGTCCCACCTCATGCCCATCTCATAAGTTCCCTTTCTCCCCAACTTGAACCCATCTCATTTCATGATTTTACTCTATAAAAGTCCCTAGAAAAGACAGACTCGCTGGCAACCTGCTCCAGATCCTTTCTGTCCCTCAGACAGAAGTTTTCTTTCACTCATTATATTCTGCTCTTAATCTCTGTTGTTCCTAAAATTTACTCTTCGATTTAGGGAACACAAACTGGTACTGGACATACAGTAGGTTGTTGGGGTTTTTCCCTAGATCCCCAACCCCCCAGACGGCAAAGGCAAAGGCCTAAAGAAATGAGGCAGGTGGAATGCTCGTTAGGGCTCCTGGAGAACTCAGATCTTCTGCAGAGTTTGTAACTCTGCAAGCCTGCCCAGCTGACTGATCTTGGGCAGCCCGTAATTAATCAGAACAAGCAAGGAGTTGAGTGGAAAACACAGAAAACCTGAGCAGGATCTTGGGAGGGATTCAAGGACTCTTCTGAGCAAGAGATGATGCTAATTAAGAGAACTGTCCTGGGAGAACCTCTCCAGGTGTCCTCAGCCTATCTTGCCCCCTGAGGTGTTTCCTTGTTGCCAGCTCAGCCATGCGTGGGCCATGCCGCAGCCCTGCACATGTATTCAGCTTCAATGGCTCCAACAGTAGGTTGGGAGTTTCATTCCCCTGTATCACCCTCACGTTTTGTGAAAGATTTAAACCACACTCCTGGAATGGTGACTTGAGGGCAAAAGAGAACCCAACAATGAGAGCAAGTAGAAAGCACCACTGAGGAAAACGGAATTTGATAGCTATGTATACTTATACTTTCTTGTTTGCTTTATCATGCCTACTGTCATATACTGAGCACCACAATGCCTTGTTTTCCTTGTATTTTAATACAAATTTACATGTGTTAGTAATGGTTTATATGACCTAATTTTAGAGTCTAAGTAAGTGAAATAACATTATAATGGAATTAAAGGTTGAATGAATTCTATTCAGGGATGGGTTCAGTGGCCTAAAATTTCCTCTGCATCCAGGATTCATTGTACGACTTGTATTATTCTATGTGTCTGTAGTACATATTATCTAATGTGCATTGTATTTTACGTCTTTCTTTTAAATCTCCCAACTAGAAATCCTCTATATATTTGGAACTTAATTTTATTAAGTGCTATATAGCACCTTGTGTAAGGTGTTATCAAAATAGAACACATTTAACTGAAAGAAGTTTTCAAAACAGAATCATGATTAATGGATTGGGTAATTATTCATCCCAATAAGAATAATTACCGGAGAACATTTGGCAGCATGCAGAATTCCCTCTTAACTAAGCACATCCTTTCAAAATAATCAGAGAAATCATTTTTTTCAACAGTGACTTTAATGACTCTTTAAAACAAGTTATTACTTGACATTATCAGTTATTTGGAAATTTTAATAATAAAAGTGGATATATTTCATATTGGAGAAAGCCCGTGAGTGATAGAGATTTAATATTAATATTCTTTTGGACATCAAAAAGATTTAAAAAAAACCTACACACTCATCTAATCTTTTTGCACAATTTTGGATTTTATTTATTTAGTTTTATATTCTATTTATCTATTTTATTATGAATCTCTTGATGTATCTAGGCTTCTTTTCCCCTTTAGTGGATCATTGAACTGATACTTTTGATATTGTTCTCAAAAAATGTGCATAAATTGTCATCATAACATCTAATTTTCATCTGCCCTACTTTTAAATATAACTGTTTTCTCCACAGTCTACTTAGCTGTACCACTTGTTAAATACCACTTGCCTGTCACATGTGAGATTTTTGCTGATGACATGTATTTCCATTTGAGAAGTGATGGTTAAAGTATTATCTTCATCAAAAGCAAAATCAACAGTGTTACCATTTCAGTTTTTCTTGAAAAATATCATTTGAATAACAATTGTGAGATTGAGAGAGTCAAATTCTTCAAAACTGGGAAACAAAACCATTACATAGACACAAATCCTTAGCAAAAGGACTGAGGACCAGGCATTAGTAGGAGACAGGAAGGAAGAGAGGAGAAATGGGGATTAAAAAAGAATTAAGATTTTTTTTTTGTACATTTACCAGTTTCCCATGATCAGTGTCATCATTATATACTTTAAACACATACTAACAATAGTTTAAAAATAAAAGAACACACTTTCAGCTTCAGACCTCTTATGGTATCTACTTTTGAAGTACAATTCTAAGTACTATGAGTGTAATTTTTAAAGAAAAGCATGCAATACTTATCTATTGTTTTAAAAATATTAAATAATGCTTAGATATTTATAAAATTCACTGAATGACACAAACATCACTTAACATTTTACCGTAATTGTTAAGAATTATGAAGTCGTTTCAAATGTCTGGTTGGCTCTAAATTTTGCTCTAATGCATATTAGAAGCATCACTAAAGATCTGGTCCTTCTAGAGGCATTCAGCAAAAGAGGAAAGAATACTTGGTGAGGGTAGAAAACTTTAGACTTAATTGCTAGCATCATTTAGTAATGATATTAAATTATGAAAACTTGCTTATTCATTTGCAGAATGAAGAATATAAGGCTCATCCCCTTGTTTAAGGGTTAAACACAGGAAAATATTTTGCAAAAAATGAGATATATAAAATGTGCAAAACAACATTGTAAGACAAGCTCAAGTGTGCAAGAGAATACTGTGCAACCAAAAGGCAGAACATAGTTTTGCACACCTAGAGAAGACAACCTAAATTTGAGATAAGAAAAAACTGTGAAAATTACATACTAAGAGTGTTGTATCCATGGTAATTTTCTATCTGTCTTGTGCACATGTGCTGTTTAAGTTTGTGCACGTAATTGTCTCTCTTCATTTGGAACTCTTAATCTGGAACCTCTAGATGTTTTATGACACTTCTGCCTATCTCATCTCCGCAGCTGAATTATTTAGAAAGTTCTAAAAATTTTACTGTAAAAAGTGTTGACTTTAATTGTAACTTAAGTCAACATATAAATGGATACATTGCGTTGCTATTTACATTATTTTGTGATATTTGATGGCTTAACTGCATCCTATGTACCTGAGCAGTGTTCTCGCTAGAGGCCATTGACCTCTGTGTCCCCACTCACATAAAATCTCATTGCCACGGTAAAAAAAGTAATTTATTCTACAATACATGTCAATAGGTATATTTTTAAAGGACAAACTCACGCAAATTGAAAATTCAAAATCTTTTAGTAGAACATTTTTCTTAATGGAGAATGTTTATGCACCGTGAAGGGGATGGAATAGATGAGCTAATATATTTCTGCTTATTTAATTTCTGTGACCTTCTGAGGACTGAGAGTTATTAAACAAATAATTAAGAGGGGTTATGCAATTATACTGAACTTGCAATTGTATATGATGTTTCATTTCAAATGTACCTTTATCATGGTTTTGACATTAGAGGAAAATTCCCAGAAACAGGTGTGGATTTACAACAGGACAATTTTTAGGGCATTTTTTTTTTTTTTACGTAAAGAATTTAAGAGATTATTATTAGAGTGAAACCCAATTATTGTTTTATAACTCAAGTTTATTAATGTGTCTAAATATACAGTAAAATGTTTTAAATTTTAAAGTGTTAAATCTTTAATATCCCTACATAGAAATTGCCTTACATGTATCTACTGAAAGAAATGTAGCAGAATATATTGCAACTTGCTTTAATGATGAAAGTTTTTATTATGAGCTCCGGTTTCTGGGAATCAATTCAGATAGCTATGAAGGTAATCGTGTAATGCAGTAATCTCATTCAACCATTATGAACCATTTAAATTTTCAATGTCAATTTGGTTTAAAATCGGTGTGATGTATTTGTTATCAACTATAATTACAGGTCAAATAGTTTAGTTTATCCTGTGTCCTAAGTTGAAGGTGACCAGAAACAGAACCGTTCATTCTGTTTCCTAAGCTCCACTTCCAGGAGGACAATTCAGTCATTTAAAATTCGAAGTTATTCTTCCTGTTTCCTGTTTGATTTTATTCCTGGACTGTGTCCCTTTTTTTGTTTTGAGCTTTTCTATCCTCCTTTAATCTGGATTTTGTAGCTGCTCAATTTTACTCTTCTACTAGCTTCAAAGCTGCTTCTCTTCAGTCTATCCTTCCTCTGCTAGTTTCCTATTAGAGTTTCAATGCTTTCATATCAATCTTTTGCTCAAAGAAAAAAAAATCTGCTTTAAAGGTTTCATCTTAGCCTTACCGGAAAAAAGAATTAAATTGCATGCTTTGGTACTAATTTGTAATTCTCCCCAATCTCCCCCAAACTTTACACACACACACACACACACACACACACACACACACACACACACACATACACACACACCAAGAGGGACAAGAAGAGGGAGGGGGAGGGGAAGGGAGAGCTCTTATATGCCTTCCAGTACTAGAATACAGGCTAATTTCAAAAGAGATTTCAGTTTTACTCTTGTCAGGTTATTTCACCAGAGTCCTAGTACTGAAATGCCTGTTCTTCCTCCTCCTACCTCTAGGTACAGCAAATAACCTACCTGATTTCTTGCAGAGAAACTTTACATTCTTTTTGTATTAGATAATGCCTTCATTTTCTCTGTACTCTTTCACATCACTTCTACTCCACATAAATTAGCGATAACTACCCATAGTCTTATCTTCTCCCATTATCTGTGTTGGTCAGCAGAGAAGATCTCTTATTCATTTTGTCTCTTCCTGTTGAGAGTTCTCATGTAGTATAATATCAATAAGCAATTATCGAATGAAGAAAGTAGGGAGGAAATAAGTATAATTCCTGATTTCTTTGTGTGTTGTATTTCCTCTCTGAATTAATGAATGTACTCTAAAATTATGCTGACTTATACAATTTACTATTGTGCATGTGTCA